ATCCCATCAGCCCCTGTGGCGGTGAGTCAATTCCAGCATGTATCGCTTCTGCCCTGCTTGCCTGCTTCCCCTCTTGGCCTGCATATGCCCTTGGGCATGTTTTCAACCAGTTGCCTCCCCCCCCCCCCCCCCCCCCATTGCTCTGCAACTACCTGCTCACTGGAGTAGCATTGTTGCTGTAGACCATCTCTACTCCCTCCCTCACTGCATGTGTGTCCATTCCACACACCCCTATGTGTAGAACACACACACACACGCGCGCACCCAGTTGGACGGAGTGCATCTGTGTGGGAGAACCGAGCTTCTCCTGGTGACTATGCCCATGCACAGCAAGCAGGCTCTCTTATGCAAAGCTGCCTTCAAAGAGGAAAGTGCTGGATTACACATACAGCCATTTCAGGACCCCATCCCAACAAATGTAGTTGGGCATTGGGAAGGCAGTGCACAGACAGTGGGGGGAAAGCAGCATAAGGCAGCAAATCGGAGTGTGGCCTCAGTAGTTGCTATGCAGAACAAGACATTAAAAAGGAGGCTGGTGCATCTGCTGCTCCTGCTGCCAAACTTGATGGCAGAAATGGGGAAACTACAGAAGATCATTGTAACTGAATTCACATATAACAAGCAACGCTAAAACATGGAAACCTTAGAACAGACCATTGATTCTCCATGGGGACTGAAGGTAACCAAACATGCCATGCTTCACCACACTTAATGAATTCACATTTCTGCCATGGCTTGTGGTTATGTGTGTATACAGCCACTGGCTTTTTAGATAGGTGGGTTTATTGATCTCTCTCATATCCACACCCTTAAGGGTTGCACACAGTTCACACTTTAGTAACAGTTTCTAAAATCCTTCACATTAAATGCACAGTTGCATAGAAACTTACTCTTGTTGCAGTGGTTTGAAATAATCAAACCCTGGACCCTGGACACCCCTCAAAATTATTTTGCCCCCCCCCCACATTTGCTATCTTTAAAAAGCAAGAAGAAAAATGGCTGTCTTAAAAAGAAGAAGGGTAGTTAGGTTGCTGTGGTTCAGAAAAGGATTGATGAGTCAGGAAGTAAAAGAGTAGAACATGGCATCTGATTTTAATTTTTGTTGTTACATTAAGAGTTATAATGAATATGTGTTTTGGAAAGTTAGGGATTCTGTCTCTTTTCAGATCCAGCAATGTTATTCAACAGTTGAATTAAAAGCAATTATTTAGTCTGTTCCTATTCAGATAAAATGATTTCCCAGAGCGATGGCTGAGGTAGAAAAGAGATTTGAATCAGACATAACTAGAAGAGAACCCTATGGGGAAGTGAGAACTGTGCCAGAAAAAAAGGAAAATATAAAGAGGTTGGTGAACAGGGAATGTCTTTAGGGCAGTGTCAGAATGTATGTACTATATGTTTAAAATTCTAAATTTAGAACTCACCATCTCCAGTTAAAGGATTTCAGCACTGGGAAAAGCTACTTTTCTAATGACTAGGCCCACTGCAAGTGGCACATCCTGGTTTGATGTTGAGTGAGATACACTACCGAGGTTTGACTGGGAACATTTCTTGCTTCCAAAAAGCTACATAACAGGAAAACATTCAACTTGAAGGAGGTTTCCAACTCCTTACTTTATTTATGAGTGGCATTTCCCCCCATGTTGATCATCACAGGGCAGCAGACAAAAGTCAAAAACAAATGTGTCCAATACACATACACAGAGTGCAATCATATACATATGTTTACTCAGAAAAACATTCCACTAAGTACAAGGAGACACTCCAGGTAACTGCATGGAATTGCAGCCTGAAAGATTGCTGAATCTACATGGTTGTGAAATTGCTGTAGCTGTTGAATGTCTATCTATCAGGATGCCTTAAAAAGGCATGGCAACACAGCACCACCCTTTCCTCATGTCTGTTTTCTTGGAAGCAGTGACCACAGTTCTATCCGATTTAATATACAGTACATATTAAGGTGGAAAATTGCCAAGAAGTCCAAAAATTGAGTTTTTAAAAACCCCTTCTCTAAATGAGGAAACTGGCAAAGAGAAAGCTGAAAGGGCGATGCATGAAGGTTAAATCCGTTCAAAATGCATGGAAGATAACTCAAAACCACAGCAATAAGAACTCAGCAAGAATGTATACTACAGCTTAGGAAAACTGGCACCAACTTTAAGAAGTTGCCAGTGTAATTGACAAGCAGCATAGAGGAAGTTATTGGAGAAAAGATTTCCTTTGTAAAATGGAAGACTTGTCCAAATGAGAGAACAAAAGGGAACACATAGGAGTTGCAAGCAGACAATGAAAAATGCAAAAAAGAATTTTGAGGAACATATCTCTAAGAACATCAAGGCCAACAACAGAATATTTTTCAAGTATATCAGAAGCAGTAAATGGGCTAGGAGGAGTACTGAATGAAGATAAGAGAATTGTGGAGCTGAATGAATTATTTTCATCTGTCTTCATCACTGCAGAAAACATAGAACCCTATACCTGAACTGAGGAGTCTGAAGAATTCAGGCAAATAGAACTGACAAAATTTTTAAAATAAACAAGCCATATGGCCTAGATGATATCCATCCTAGAGGGCTTAAAAACATCAAATATGAAAATGCTGAACCTTCGACAAAAATATGAAGCATATCCCTAATACCAATCCTACCATATAAAAGGACTAGAAAAATGCCACCCCAATGTTTAAAAAGAGATTTGGTGGGTGCACTGAGAAGTTACAAGCTTGTAAGCAAATAAGACAAGGCTTACTGAAAAATTATCATTATAACTTCCACAAGGTCCTATCTCACTGAGCGAGTGTTGAGTGTTCCCATAAACTTGTTGGCAGGAGCAATCGCATATTTACTTATTTATTTATATGCTGCTTTTTTCCTTTCACTGAACTCAAGGTGGCTTACTAATTCTCCTCCTCTTCCCCATCTTATCCTCACAACAACCCTGTGAGGTAGGTTGGGCTGAGGGTTGTGACTGGCCCAAAGTCACTCAGTGAGCTCCATGGCTGAGTGGGGACTAAAACTCAGATCTCCTGAGTCCCAGTCCTACACTCTTAACCATGACACCGTGCTGGTCGACACTGTTTACTTGGACTTCTCAAAGATGTGACAAAGCTCCTCCTGAGCAAACTTTGCAGTCAGGGAATAATGGTTGAGATCCTCATATATCAATAGCTGGTTGAAGAACAGAAAGCAGAGAGTAGAAATATGAGATGGTAAATTCGTTCAGTGGGGGGATGTAAACAGTGGAACTCTATTAGGGCCAATACTTTTGAAGTAGTTTATAAAGGATCTGGAATTAGGACTGAGCAGTGAGGGGACCGTGTTTGCTGATGACACAAACTATTTAGAGTGATTAAAATGAAAAGGAATGGCAAAGAAAGGATCTCTCCAAACTGGAAGAATGGGCATCAACATGTCAAATGTGGCTGAGTGTAAACAAGTGTAAGGCGATTCACGTTGGAGTAAAAGAATCTAAGCTTACGTATATGTTGATGGGTTCTGAGCTAGAAGTGACTGACCAAAAAAAGAAATATTGGGGCTGTGGTGAACAGCTTGATAAAAATGTCAAGCCAGTGTTCACTGCTGTGAAAAAGGTAATATTTATGTTAAGCATAATCAGGAAAAGGATTAAAAATACAACTGCCATTAGAATATCCTTCATTCTTCAAGTGCAGTTGGAATACTGTGTGCAATTGTGCTTACTGCACCTAAAATGGCATTGTAGATTTGGACAGTGCAGAAAACAGTGATGGAAATGATCAAGGGATTGGAGTGACTCCCCTGTGGGGAAAGGCAACTTCTCAAACTGAGGGGGAAAAGACAAGTAAGGTAGGACACGATAGAGGTGTACAAAATTATGCACAATGTGGAAAAAGTGGATAAATATTTCTTTCTTTCTAGTAACATGTAACCTGGGATCATACTGTGAAGCTGATTGGTGGGTGATTCAGGGTAAATAAAAAGGAAGAACTTATTTACACAGTGCATGGTTAAACTATGGAATTCACCCCCACAAGATGCAGCAGTAGACACCAATTTGGATGGCTTTAAAAGGGGGTTAGATATTCATGGAGGTTAAAGCTCTTTGTAAGTATAGGCTGCCTCCAGTGGGAGAAGCAGTATGGTTATGTATGCCAGTTACTGAAGAATACAGGCAGGATGGTGTTGCACTCATGTCCTCTTTGTGGGATCCTGCGGGTAGCTGGCTGGCCGGCCACTGTGTGAACCGAGTATGGGCTACATGAACCTTGGTTTGATCCAGCATACCTCTTATGTTCTTCTCTTTTTTCTTCCAGTAAAGGACATTAAGTTTTTTCACAATGTTGTTGCTGTTAGTCGCAAAGTGTCCGACCCATCGCGACCCCATGGACAACATTCCTCCAGGCCTTCCTGTCCTCCACCATCCCCCGAAGTCCACCTAAGCTCACACCAACTGCTTCAGTGGCTCCATCTAGCCACATGCAACAACCAAAACGAAATCTGCTATCCTGTGTTTAATTTAGCCTTCCGTATCCATCCCGTGGATATGGGTTGGATTACAATTCCCATCTACACAACCATTGGCCATGCTGACTGGGGACGATGGGGACTGCAGTCCCACAATACCGGAAGGCAGGAACTTAGGAAGGGCTTTGCCTTAACCATCCTTACAACATAGCTCTGTAGCAGCTCAGGGACAAGCCCCACCGACTTCAATAGAACATACTCCCAAGTGAGTACACATGGAAGGCTGTCTAAAAGAGCGGCCACCATCACGAACCGGAAACCCTCACTATAAGGGAAAGAAAGATACACCCCGCGACATTTTTATTAGCCCGTCATTAGAAAACAACCTCAACCTGTTTTTCACGTTTTCCCCGACCACCTCACTCCGCAAACTTTCCCATCCAGCGCATGCGCGTTCGTTGGTTGTTCCTTCGAGGCACGCACGCACGCGCCCCGGCCCCGCCCCGCATCCCCTCCCCCCTCCTATTACTCCGCCGTTTTGTGTGTGCGCGCGCGCGCGCGCTCCTTCGAGTTGACGAGGAAGAGCTCGAGCTGCCAGTCGCTCGCCGCGCCCCTTCCCTCGTCGATCCCAGCCGTTGCCAGGGCGGCTTCCTGCCTTGCCGAGCTCCGCCGCGGGCGCAATTTTCGAGGCAGCGGGATCGATCCACTCTCTAGCCTCTTCCTCTTAACTGACACCCACAGAAGGACCCCCGTCTCCCCAAACGCACGCCCTACTTCAGTCGCCATGAACCCCAGCTGCGCCCGCTGCGGCAAGATCGTTTACCCGACCGAGAAGGTGAACTGCCTCGACAAGGTGGGTGTTCCGACGGAGGGCGAGGACCGTGGGGGGAGGGCGAGACGGTTTGTCGAGGGGAGGGGAGGGGAAGGGAGGGGGTGGGCGTGAGGGGGTGGCTACTGGAACTGTGGGGCGAAGGCGAGAAAGTGGGGGTGGGGCTCGTCTCAGGACGAGGAGCAGGCAAGTAAGAGCACTTTGAACTGTGTGTGTGTGTGTGTGAGAGAGAGAGAGAGACAGACAGACAGACAGACAGTGCGAGGGGTGGGGGTGGTACAGGGAAAACGGAAAAGGGGAATTGCTAGCCGGCGAGCGGAGAAGATGGTAGCAGTGGGGGGCATGGACAGAAGGGGGAAGCTCTATAGGTGTGTGCCGTAAAAGGAGAGGGGTTTTCTTGGGGAAGACGGGCGAGGTGGCATGGGAGGAATGCAGGCCCCAAAGTGAGGAATTGCCGGAAGGAACGGAAAAGAAGGGGCGGGGGGGAGTGAGTGTGCAGAAGACACAAAGGGGTGGTGGGGTGGGGTGGAGGAACAACGATTTGAGAGTGCTTAGGATGGGGAGGAAGGCGCCAAGGGGTTTGCTAATAGGAGGATAAGGTTCAAGTTAGGCTGAATAAAAGCGGGGGAGGGTGGAAGAGGGAGTTGCCGGGCCAAGGGTATGGCAGAAAACCTGAGGGAAGGGAAAGTGTGACAAATCTAATGTGGGTAATGGTGCGGCCTAGAAATCAAATAAACAAGAAATAATCTTAAAAGATGGAAGTAACAGGTTATTTCTGAAATGGAAGCGCTTGCAGAACTGCTTGCTAGGTATAGGTTCAGAGTGTGTGTTTGGAGGGGGAGGTGTTGAGTGTGAAATGAGTTTTCTTGGTGGGTGAGTAGGATGTGTTTTTTGTGGAAGCCCTAGGGTGGGAGTGGTATTGAGGAGACAATTCTGAAAGGGCATGGAAAGGGAAAAGTAGGTGTAGAGGGTGGTATATTGCCTGCATGGTGAGAGGCGATGGCAAGCAGCCTCTCTTGGTGAGTGGAGTTAGGGATGAGTATGTGCTGAAAGTTGGTTCATAGTGGGGTCTGTTGTTAAAGTTCAGATCAAATCTGTTATGAATTGTATAGGAATTAATCCAGTTGGGGAGGCTTTAGGGAGGAAGTATGGAAGATGCATGTAGAAGGCTGGCAGCAGTTGTGGACAAAAATCTTGAAATAACAGGAAGGACATATATTGGTCAGATGTTTAAAATGTAGTGTGGAGGCTGACTAGGTGTCTCTGTGTTTATATGGGTAGTTTCAGTTCTGTCTTGGGTCTGATAGTTAAGCATGCCAAACTAATTGAGGATGAGTTTGTTAATGATTTGACACCTGATTGATTGGATCCTTTTGATACTTTTGGGCTAGAAGCCTGGCTTTAGGGGAACAGATATGGAAAAAGGCAATGATAATGTACTGTCAACAGGACAGATGACTTCAGGAGATAGCTTCAGCTATTGGGTACATAGAAGTAAATAAAATGTATATTCTTAGATCATGAATCTGGCACTTAAAATTGCCTCTCTTGTGAAAAGTGATTGTGGCTGTATTTCTCATGTGTGCTACAGTCGTGTCTTTTTTCTGAAGGATGAAAGTACTGTACTAGTACCGAGCTATTATAGACAGACCAAAACAGGCCTCAGAACTAGTTTTTTTTTTCCTGCCTCTTCTTTCTGAATTTGTTTTCTCCCTTAATCTGCTAGTGAATTTGATGGACTTGCTTTTTATCACATTTCTACCTGTAAGAGACTGGTGCATGGAAGTGTAGGAGAAAGTACCTTTCCACTTCTTTTCTTAAACAACATATGGCACAGCTGAATTGATGTTGGAGAGAGTCCAGTTTTGACTAAGGTCAAAAGACAGGAATTTGAGCCACGTTGTCAGCTCTTGTTTGAGCCCCTGTTTAAGGCAATGCAAATGCCATAACTTTTAGATCTTTTTTATAAATTTTTTAAAAATGGTATCTAATGAAAGCAATAACTTTCTTTAGACATTTTTTCTTTTTTGTTACACCCTTTAAAAACCCAGTAGGGAGTCTCAGCAGACAAAATGAAAGGGACTTAGTTATCATCTGCTTTATGTTAGATTCTGTTCCTTGCCTCCTCCCTTTAGATGGTTTGTTCTGCAGTGTTTCAGACTTTAAAACTTAGAATTAGTTTTACTAATTTCTTTAAAGGGTTGATTTCCTCCTTTTGCCATTATTGGTGGTACTAGTTTAATGAACTTTAAAACCTTATATCCAATACAACGGAAGAGAGAGTAATTTAGCTATGACTATGTTTTGTCAATAGCAGAAAAACTTCTTAATTACTCTTAACTGTTGTTGTCCTAATGGAATATTCAGTGATGCTTTCTATATTTGGGACGGGTTCTTTTCCATCTTCATGAAGATCTTGTAGGGCATAGGAGATGAGTCTGAAAAAATATAATGTCTCAGTACAACTTTACAAAATCAAGAGACTACTCCACCCATCCATCATGTTTTGATGACCTTTGAAGCAAATATAAGGACATTCTTCTCTTCTGAGGGATAAGACTATTCCACCACTATATGTACCTTGTATATTATACAATCATTTGCTATATGGCAAATAAGGGATATTTCAGCTTCATCAGGAGTATATTTATTTAAAAAGTTCATCTGTTCATGTATCTGGATAACATTGCATTCAGGGATTTTCCAGCCTTGCATACTGTGCCTGTTTTGGAGGTGAAGACAGAAGTCTGTTGTCACAAGCTATAGCTACTGATTTGTGTTGAGTTGATGGAGGAGACTCTCTTAATCCAATCAGTATTGTTGAGATTTCTGTTAGTGAGTCTCCTGTTGTCAACAGGAGACTCACCTGGAACTAGTTCCATTCAGAGCATGTTATACTACTTGGTTCTAACCAACACCTAGAATTGGCCTGATATTTCAGGAAAGAACTTCAGGGTGTGGGTATGAGTGTGTGGGTGGGGGGGAGTGAGGAAGAAGGATTGGTGTGTGGACTGAGGGTGTAGGAAGGGATAAGTCTCAATGTCACACATGAGGATTTCTTTTCTTTGCAATAACAATCACCTCATAGTAGAGTTTTATATGGAATCTAGTTTTGTATCTGTTCTATATATGATGGTGCTGAGACTGGTGTACAGGGTTCCTTTATCAACACCCACCGTCAAGCCTTATATCCATTTGCTATTATTTCAAAGCAGTGGTTCATGGGAGTTGCACATAGGTCAAGAGGACAGTATTTAAAAATAGCTGTGCTTCACTTTCATGATTTAAATACATACAGCAATTGAGAATTGACATAGTTAATTAGTTATCCTTAGTATGCAGACCATTATGCTATAAAATATACATAAACTATGTCTTTTCCATATACTACATATGAGCTTTATGTGATCTGACTAGATTAATTTCAGCTATAATTACTAAGCTGAAGGAGGATGAGTGTCTCCAGGACCTTTTGACTATGGCTATAAGCATGTACTTCTATGAGGGGGTATTAAAGCCTACCTTTCATTTCAAATACATTCTGAACAAAATATAAAATGGTACCTGACTGTTTTGTAGAAACTAGTTTTGAGATCTGTTTGTACTTTCTCCATGTACTTATGATAAGTCACCAGAAGCTGGTTAAATAAAAATGGTGGTGACAAGCTGTATTGAATATTACATGAGCTAGTATAGTGTTGTGGTAAGAATATTGGACAGGGACTCAACAGTATTTGGTCATGAAGCTCATGGAGTGATTTTGGATCAGTAAGTGGCTGTGTTTACACATAAGCATAAGCCATGGCAGGAATAGCTTGTCATTATGTGTGAATTCAGAAAGGATGGTGAAGTGTGACGTGCTTGGTTACCTTGCATCTTCATGGAGAATCAATGATCTGTTTTAAGGTTTCCATGCTTCAGAATTGCTTGTTGTTGTGTGTGAATTCAGTTATAGTGTTTTTCTGTAGTTTCCTTGTTTCCACCATTGAGTCTGGATTAGCAGCAGCAGCAGCAGGGCATCGTGCAGCACCATCTCCAACAGCAGTGATCTTGGAAATAGGCATGCTTGGCACTCCTGACTGGTTGCTTCACTTTATTGGACTGGTGCTCTATGCTGGAGCAGTAACTGTATGTGTGTTTCACTCATCAAGCCAAAAATCTTCTCATGTGAAGGCAGCATTGCACAAGAGGAATGCTGGCTGTGTATGAGCATAGCTATCACAGTAATCACCCTGAGAAGCCCAGGTCTTCCGTGCTCTCTGACCTCCCCACTGGGAGTGTTCCTGCAGTGCTCCTCTAAAGTGACAGTGCTGCTCTAGTGAGTAGGCAGGAAAAAACCAAATAAAGGCAGGCTGAGAACATGCTCAGAGGAAGGTGTGGGCCAATGGGGGAGACATAGGCAAGAGAGGTGAATGCTGGGATTGATTCCCAGCTGTGGGGGCTGACAGGATACATGCTGGCATTTGCAGAGAAGATGGTGCCGCGTGGAAACTGCTTGTGAGTAGTTAGCTCACAAATGTGTGAATATAGGACACAAGGCAAGAAAGATATATTGTATTTTAATCTTTATTTCATTCTATTTTGTGTTTTATTTTGGTTTTTTCCCCTGCTGTAGCCCACCCAGGGAGCCTTATGGCTAATGGGGCAGGTTAGAAATTGAATAAGAAAGCTTTATAGTGTTTCTTAGTGTTATGGGTGAACAGCCCTGGTGAGTTTCAGTATTACCTGCCTTACAAAATGGTTGTAAGTATAAAAACAGTGAGAAGAAAGGTCATGTAAAACTTTGCTTCCTTGCAAGAGGAGAGAAGGTGGAATATAAATGCAATAATAAATAAATGCTTCCTAATATTTTTCCTCCTCTATATGAAGTAGATCAGTATTCTCAGTTTGCAGATAGAACACTGAGGATAAACAAGAGAACTTGATGATTTCTGATTTTTCATGTCACATTAAAGCTACACTGGATGTTATATTACATAACTGTACATTGTTCTTTGACTCTGTTGTCAGTGGTTCTTGCCCACCATTTTAGCTGCATTCACATGAATAGCTTTAAATACCCAAGTTAAATATGTTGAGACTGTGCCTAAATTCTGTGTTAATATTACATGGGTATGCAATGCTGCTTCCCCTCACACTGCTTTGAGTGCAGTCAGAAAATACTACTTCTGGTCTTTCGTTTTTACAGTGTCATAGCCTTATTATCTGTGGTGACTAGATGTGGTTTTTGTAGGGAAACAGTGGGACCTTCCGTATCATTTTCATACAGGGCTCTGAATTGTGAGTATGTATTCCTGATGCCTCATTTTAAACTGTTTAACTGTTTTCAGAACAACTGAGGATTTTGTTTTACTATCGCGGCTATGAGGCATGTTTTTTAAATCGCCCATGTTTTTAAAATGTGGTTCTACTCTTAGACTTAATCAGTTGTTCCATGAAAGGTCTGTTAAAGATCCTGTGTTGGGGGAAAAGTTACTTTGTTAATAACTTGAAGGATGAGTAGCTTTTTGTCTTGGGGCCATACCTGAATTGCATAAGACCTCTGTTACTTGTGTTTGAGATGCAATTTGCAGAGAACCTGAAATATGCATAAATACTGGAGGTAAAAAGCTGTGGTTTTGATGAGTTATTTGAGATTCTCAGCAGCCTTGTTTCCTTTTGGTTGTGAAGACTTGTTTTGCCCAAATGTTTAGTGTTTTTGTTTTTTTTTAATGAACTACAGAAAAAATCTGAATAACCAAGCAGTTATACCATTTTATCAACTCTGAATTTATTTACAGTCTGCCATTCTGGAATGGGTTACACAGCATCCAATACTCTTGTCATGGAGTAATCCTCAGTTCAGGTTGTTATGGACTTCTTGAAATGTGTATAAGCACAAGACCTATGGCTAAAATGTGATCCCATAACTATGCATTTAAGATCAGGATCTTTCTAATGTATAACTGTGTAGTTAGTTATATCATAGGTAGACTAAAGTACAAGGACTGTTGGCAGTTAGAGGAGCCTGCTGAGCTGAAGAATATTTAACATTCTCTTCTGCAAGTGCAGTTGGCTGTCAGCCACAGATGAAGGTGCAGATCTGTTGCCCTGGGCGATCAAAGTGAGGCACACTCCCTCTGTTTCAGTACGGAGTCATTAAATGCTCCTGTCATCTAGGTTATGGCTATGTTTAAATATTGGGTGTGGTGTACTCATTCATACCAAAATTTCAATAATAATATTTGGTTCCAGGATACTTTGCAATTACTATTGAATTTCTGTACTCTGGAAGAATAGCAAATCTAGCCATAGGTTATGTTCATTAAACACAAGTGTGGCAGTTCTTACATGTCAGGCTTTGTTTAAAAAGCAGTAACTTTACATTCGATGAAAGAAATACACATCAGTTGATGGAACCTGTTGACAGAAGTTCAGGTAGGTGGGATTGTATCATGCAATATAGGCTTCACTTCACACGGTATCCATGGCCACATGACCACAGGAAGGTCTTTGGATGCTCATGGCCTTAGAAATGGAGATGATCCCTGCCCTCTATAGCCCTTAAGTTAGCAGAGTAAAATCCACAGGGGCTCCTTTCCTTCCTTCTTTCAGAATGAGGCATAGAGTTTAGAATTCAATTAAAGCAATAGAAGTTACAGTATGTTAATTTGCTTTGTTTGACTATTAAGACCAAATAATTATGCTTTATTTCTGTGGAACTTAGGGGAAATTTGGCTGGACTTTTGGAATGTAGAGAAGCGTCCCTTGGTTTTGTTCATTATAAAATCCTGGATTTTGTGAAGTAGGCCTGCTGCTTAGCTGCAAGAGTTCATTGCCATGTGGTTATGGACATGTATTTCTTTATTCACTGTCAGAATAGTTATGGTTGAAAATTTGAGGGCTCAGTATAGTGTTCTCTTGTTTTTGGTGATAAAAAGACAGAAAGTGTCATAGAACATTTCCTGGAATCAGGGCTGCTTTAACATCAATTTTTTATGATGAGCTATCTTAATGATCCATTGTGAAGCCTAGGCTGATCTGAAGTTTGTTTGAAAGGAGACATTTGTCAGGGTACCAGAATTGTTTTCTGTGCTAAGACCAAATAAGGCAACTTCCTGTTGGGGGGAAGAAGGTTCTTGCGGCAGTGAGGTGGTAAGTTGCAGAGACTTCCTTTAAGGCTTAATGTGTGGCAATATAACACAATTATGTTAGAGCTAACTAAATTGTATTAGTTGTTAATTCTTGCTTGTTAAAAGCAAATGTTAAGGGCTAAATACAAAGGAATGTTTTTCCTGGTCTTGCTTCATAACTACAGTGTATTTTGGGTTGAATAATTGTAGTAGAAATTTCCTGTGTTAAGCATATGAATAAGCCTTCCAAAAGGCATGGAGGGTGGCATGGAGTACTTCAGAAATAGTCCTTTGCAGAATTATTTTGAATATTGTTTTGGAGACATGGTTAATTGTTACTGCTACTTCACTTAGGAAGAAGTAACCAACTGGAAATATTTTGCACTGACATTGGTTTCTTATTCTCCTTAGTACTGGCATAAAGCATGTTTCCACTGCGAGGTCTGCAAGATGACCCTCAACATGAAAAACTATAAGGGCTATGAGAAGAAGCCATACTGCAATGCGTAAGTTGCTTATGCACTGAGCTCTTTACTCTCCTTCTTTTTAGACTTAGATATGAAAAATATAAGGAACTGCATATCTATAAGTCGCAATGTGCTTGGATCGCTGGACTTCCTCATCAGTCAGAAGTATGAAGAAAGAAGCTGGGTTAATACCTATGGACCTAGGGCACCCTTAATCCTGTTAGGCCATCAGCATCCTTTCACAGCCCTGTCACGTGCTGTGAAAGAATAGACTATCTGTTATTGAGCATGGAGTAAATGGCAAGAGCGTGATAGGATAGAATACAGTGTGGCACATTCCCTTCTAGAATGCATGTGATTTTAAATTTAGATAAATAATAGAAATATGAAGTTATGGCAAGGAGGAAGGTGTGTAGAAGAACTAGTGGCAGTGACTTAGGAAAAACTTTAACAGTGGATTTTGAGGAGGGCTTTGGAAAGAGAGTCCAAGTAGATTTGTGTAGAACAAACAAGATGGTGGGCATAGAAGAAGAGATTGACAGTAATGCTAATAGCAGAAGATCATGGAGATGAAAATCCTTATACTTTGAAACATAATGGAGATGTAAAAAGATGTAAATAATGATCATAGCAGGAGGACAAGCATGCTTTTTGTGATGCATTTCAAAATTACTAATATAGGTGGAAGACTGGGAGCACATTAGGATTAGAAATTCTGGTAAAGAGCAGAATTTAAGTATATCGCATGAAAATATATTTGCAAGGTATAAATGCGAGGTGGATAATCACATAGGATACAGTCACTGCTTCCTCAAATATTGGTGTCTCCTGGATAAACCATCTCAGAATCTTAAATTTATTTACTATCTGGATTATGAGCCTTATAAAGCATTAGCAATTTAAAAAACCAAAATAAAACTAGGTTTAGTCTATTCAGTAGTCTTAATACACTATTGTGCTGAAGTGTTTAAAGCAGATCACAATATTCATTAAAGGCAGTGGTACATTAAACTATATTCACAAACCTTACTAGTCCAGCAGAAGTGGGTTTCTGATATATTTGTCTGTCTTCCCTCCATCTTTTCTCTTCACTCACTCTCAATCCCTTTCTGCCTCCCTCCCTTGTCCACCCTCCTGACCCCATATTCCTAGCAATAAGATATTAGATAACTGAGTTTACATTATTGCTGGAGTTCATTGTGGCTTGTTTAAGCCATGGTGCCCATGGGCACTGTTCTGTGACTTTACAAGTATACCAGGGTGGGTTGTGCATGGGCTGATTGACCCTCACGCAACACACTTCCTCCTGCTTCAGATGATACGACAAACTTCAGTTGTAGCTTGACTATTCAGCCTGGCCACCAGCACATACTATAATCCTCTATTGATTTAAATAAACTGATGGGCTGTTCAGTCAGGTGAACAGGTCTGTTGTCTTTGCGTGCCTCACTCTCCTGGCCTTTTTCATGGCACATAGCCATATGTATAGATGAGGGAACAATTCATGAAGTGCCTGATGCCATCTCTACCTGCTTGCCTGCCTTCCCTCTTCCCTTCTAGATTCAATCTGCCTCAGCGCTGTATTATACCACATAAGGTTAAAAAGATAGCACTAAATTTGAAAATAGGGTTGGTGGGTTTTCTTACTGAAAAGTGAAATCTAAGTAAAAAAAAATTTTCCCCTGGAAGGGCTTCCTTTTTGTAGCAAGTACTGTATAACTAAAAGCTTCCAAAAGCTGTTTTAGTTTCAGTAAGGTCAAAATATATGTACACTGGTGTGCTCCAAAGATAAAAGCAAGAAAACATTGGGAAACCAATCCTATAGCCTCTAGGCAGGGACAGCTATCAAGACAAAACCAAGTGTAAAATTAGCCTATTGATAGTCTCAGTCTCTAGGTCAACATCATGGTTTGTTCCTGTTGCAGTTTCCTTCAGGACATTATCTAAGTAAAGCTTCTTATCTTTATACACATGGAAATGCACATACCTGCTTCTCTGGAATGGCACAATTCTGGATAATTTTTTCTTCAATAAAGTAATGAAATTATTTGTGCACATCTGGGGTGCTAAAAAGGTGAACCACTGAGAACCCCTTCAGTGTTCCACTTGTACATTTCTGGGAGGCTGAAGGTGCCTGTCAAAACAGATTACAAAAAGTGTTCTCTAGGACAAAGAAATGGGAAAAAACCCTCAGTGAACCAAAATGATTCCTGATTGCAGCTGGGAGTGCAGCTTGAGCTGCAAAATCCCCTTGGATTCCAGCTGACCCATGGAGGAAGGAGGAGCACACTGTGGGCTGTTCTCACAGCCACCAGACTACCATGCTTTATTGGCAGGCTGGGTTGATGACATAGCATGATATGCAAACCCTCCTGTTATGTTATGTGAAAAACAAAGGAGCATAAATGTATATGCTAATTAATATGATAAAGGTCTTTATTTCAAATAAATGCATATTGTACACAGGCTTAGGTGTTCAGGCACATATATAATGCGATATGTGGAGCAATGCATTAAGAAACACAGCTTCAGCTTGACAGTACCAAGTACTGTCAGTACTGTCATTATTTGACAGTATCAAATAATGAGGTGGTATTATGAACTATACGACATGTATTCCTATTTGACAATACTAACAAAAGATGAAAAACATTACTGGAAGTGACTATATAGTGTAACTCAACTGAAAACACAAACCCATGCATTCAGGCACTTACAAAATAGGTGATATGAATAACAATGCTGTGTAGGACAAAGTTTCTGCTTCATGATAAATGATAAGGTAGTACTACAAACTATATAAAAAGTTCAGCCCAAACACTTGTTTGATATTGTCAAGTTGGAACTTTTCATGTTTCTCACATCAGTGTTGCAAATTTTATACATGTGCTTGAATAATGTATATATGTACACTATAAATGTACAGGCCATCCCCAGGTTACAAATGTCCAAGTTATGAACATCTGTACTTATGAACACACTGCCATAATGTCTATTAATTTAGACATTTGAGTTAAAGAGAAACAGTTTGTAGTAATGAACATGGGAACTTTTAAGAGTTTAGAAGCTTACTGTGGAATATCATCACAGAGAGACTGAGGAAGTGAAAGGGTAGAGAGGGAGGTCCTCTAAAGCATGCCTTCTTGCCCCATGCGTCCAGAGAGGAGTCACTGGTGAGTGAAAGGAAGGATGAGGAATAAGAACATAAGAATGTAATAAATGAAGAAGAGCCCTGCAGGACCAGTACGGGGGGGTGGGGGGGAGAAGCAATCACATATGGTCAACAGTGTTAAGAGTTAAAGTTTTTCTTTGGGGGTGGGTGTGTAGAGATATTATCATTTTTTTCACATTTGCAGGTGTCTTGTGCCCCTAACCTCTGCAAATGTGGAGGACTTAATATATACAGATGTGTTTCCTAAGTGTGTTATATGATGTTTTAAGATATTTTTGTTGTACTTTTCATAATCTGTTTTTATGGATTCTTGTAAACTGCCTAGAGAGTGTCAGCCATGGGGCAGTATAGAAATGAAATAACAGCAACAATAACCATAGGTGAAACAAACCTTTCTATAGATCATGGATTCTCTGGGTGGTTTGTTGGGGGGAAAAAAAAAACAAATCATCCCAAGGAAAGTGGTCTGGGTTCAGTTAACATAGTAATCAACTGTGGTTTGCTGCCCATGGTGAATTATGTGATGCAAATCATAAGCTGTTGATTTCTGGTTGTCCTTTCATCTGAGAGACCTTTCCCTTTGTTTAGCATTGGCTTAGCGATATCAATGGGACTTGCCAATATAAACCTGTGAAAATCTTGCCTGTCTATACTCCTTTACCCATTTCTGTTTCTTGGCATTCTCAAGAGTAGGAAAAATATTTAGGAGCTTCTGTAAAAGCACCAAATAAAGTCACAAAGTCAAAAGAATTGTGCTCTACAGGTAGTTTATGCCACATCCATAAAATTTTGAATGAGTGTATACAATATTTTTGGCTGAAAGGCCGCATGTGATGCTGGCTCAGGGTTTTAAGGGTGACACATGTATATGCACAATGTGCACATACATTCCAGTACTCCTGATAGAGATGGCTGTTTTCTTGCTTATAGCAGCTTCTGGAAAAGAACAAGCTGTATTAGAATCCCTCATGGTAGAGTGGAAAGTCTTTCCATCTCCACTCTTCACAAACCTGATACAACTTATTTTATACTTGCTGTTGCTAGAGAGTCCCTTGGACTGCAAAGAAATCAGATTTGATTTAAAAATCAACCTTCACTGTTCTCTAGACGGACACATACCTGAAGATGAAGCTCAAATACTTTGGCCACCTAATGAGAAGGAGGGACTCATTGGAGAAGACCCTGATGATGGGAATGATTGAAGGCAAAAGGAGAAGGAGATGGCAGAGGTTGAGGTGGCTGGATGGGGTCATGGGTGGTAGGGGTTGGATGGACCCTGGAGGATGGTGGAGGACAGGAGAGCCTGGAGGAATGTTGTCCATGGGGCTGAAAAGAGTCAGATGTGACTTTGTGACTAAACAAAGCTGCTACTAGTGAGGAAAGAACTATCTTTATGAAGATAATTGGACGGAGGGAATTTATTGAGATTTGAACAGTCCTGGGAGTCACAATGCAGTCAGAGGGCAGGTTGTATACTTCCTGGAAGTAGAATCTCATATTCCATATTTATATGCTCACTACCAGCTCTGTCTGAAAACAAGGGATGCTGTTGATACTGGACTCTGCTGAGCAAGGCAGACACTGTCTTCTCTCAGAACACTTGCTAAGATTCTCATTATGTGTTGAGATGAGTGTGATTACTACTACAGGAAAGGAACATCTGTATATGATGGTACTTTATCAAATAAGGTTCACCAATAGCCAAGATAGTGGCTAGATGCCAGTCTGTTTTGGTTTTTTGTCTCTCCGTGGATTAGTACTGCAGGAGGGCTTCAAGGGTTACCCAGAATCCAAATCTAGAGCAAAGATATGTTGTAAGCAGGGTGGAACTGAACTTTTCTGTCTCTAGCTTTGCACATGTCAAATT